AAGTCGGTTTTTTTTTGCTAAAAATTACTTGTTATATTTAGTACCGTTGCCAGTTATATTTCGATCTCATAAAGGCTATTGTCAACTCAATATCCAGTAACAGAAAACCCAGCCCACTTTTGACGATGTACTAGATCAACCGAAGTATAACTAATGCCTACAGGTATGCTGTGACATGGTGGAATTTGGAATGCCGAGCCCTCATCTTACATCATGCTCCAAGCAGCAGGTATAGCCAAGCGTACCTTTGGAAAGATGTTTTTATATTGCTCCAATTACTTTACTATTTTATGTGTATATTATTTGAAGTAAACTTTTTTCGAACATAACTACGCTAATTACGCGAGTAAATGCACAAAGGTTGCACCGAAAAAAAATTAAATTCTGACTACAATTTGTGTATGTATTTACAAAAAACGCCGAACAGCCAAAAAGCTGCTCAATCGACGGGCTATGTAAGTGTCATAATTGAAACGACTGCACAAAGGAGCAGTAGGCGGCGTACTAATTTTTACTGCCTAGCAGCAGTCAACCTTTCAAGCCGTCCATGCATTTTCGTCGCTTTATGCCTTCGTTACTGCCGATGAAAGTTAGAGTTCCTACATTTTATTTTACACCTCACGCTTTCCGCCGCTCACTTCACTTCCTTTACTACATACCCTTTGGATTTTTTTTGTGTCTTGCCCTCTCTCCTCTAATTGCAAATACCTACCTACAGCGGAATCCGAAAAAAGTAAACTGCTTCACAAAAGCGCTGTGCAAGCAAAGCAGGAGACTCTTCGCCGACAGCAATCCAGCTCATGTGGGGTCAAACGTATGTAATTTGAAGCTAATGAGCATTGCTCTTTTGTACTTGTACGTACATCATTTGCATGCACTATTCACACGGAATGTGCTGCAATTATTGTAGAGCTTCAATCAAATTCACACATACATATGTACAGACGCCCACGTCGAAGTGAAAATTCATTTATGCGTGCATATTTTAGTGGGAACCCATTGAGTTACAATCTAAGTTGGTACCCTGCAGTGAAAAGCTAATTAAATTATCCAGTGAATATTCTTGTAGATTATTTGGCATAACACTGGCGCGAAGGCTGACTAGTTCGATAACTGGTTGGATGCTGAGGACTGTACGTTTCTCCGATGAACAAAAGGCAAAACAAAAACGTCTTTTCATCATGTGACGGCTTTTCATTCTTAAAACACAAGTTCGAAACCGCTTGGTTAGTCAAGAACTGTGGATTAGTTAGGCGGATAAATGCTGTGCATTTATTTTTGCTGTAAATAATTGGATCACGATATTCGAAAATACATATGTCCTTTTGGCCGAAACGAAGGAAATGATTTAAAATGTACTGGAGTTGGCGTAGCTTTTTTCGGGCACCAAGCCAGCCAACTACACATGCTTCTTATGGATACATATATGTATGTATAAAATCTAAGCCAAACCTCTCTTACAATAAATTCGCTTCATACGTAATAGTAACCTTTAAGCAGAGGATTTTGCGGCTTTTTGCCTGTCACTGAATGATCAATGGACTCCTGCAAAATGCTCTATTATGGTAGAGTTACTTAAGAATCAGGAATTCTGATAATTCCTTCTGAAGTTTAAGCAAAAAATATTTCAAATGCGACACTTGCGAGCATGTTTGGATGAAGCAGCAAATAAGAAGGTAACATTTTTCAGTGTGTTCAGTTGAACAGTGTGTTCACTGTGTAAAACGTGTAAAACGTGTAAAACGTAGGTCAACTTTTGACTTAAGTCAAAAAGTGGCTAAACTAAGTTGAGTTGAAGAAACCAGCCCCTAAAGTTACGCATACGCCGTGGAAGACGTAATGTTTAACATCTGTTAGTGTCACTGAAAATCGTACAGTAAATTTTTGTTCCATTTTTTGAAAATATTTTGTTTTATTGAAATTAATATGGGGGGAGCTTTATTAGAGCAATAGAAGCGAAATCAACAACTTTTAGAATTTGTGTCTGTCTATCCATCTGTCCATATGTTTGCACTCGCATCACTCGAAAACTTTTGCATGAAATTGAATTAAATGCAAAGGTCTAACTTAAAATATAGAAAGAAAAAACATTAGAGAGTTGCCACCTTTTTGAAAATTGCATGTTTAAAAAAATTACATGATAAAATAAGTATTGCAATATTCCTGTCAAAATAAAGACATTTAGGAAGGCCTACAGTCTAAAATATTTTTGTGGAGGTCGCCACATCTTTGAAAATTTGTATTTGATTTAGATTATAAGATAAATTAAATATTGAAATACGGGTATCAAACATCACAAATAATATTGTTGAGGAGGGTTGCCATCTGTTTGAAAAATTTTATTTTATTAAATTGATAAAATAAATTAAATATTACAATACGGATATCAAAGAAGACAAAAATACTTTTAAGGTGCACTGAATCACGGCGGGTATTTGCTAGTTAATAATAAAAATATAGCTCGCACTACAACAAAATTCATAAAACTCAAGGCCTGTAAAAATTTTTTATAAATTGTAAATTTTTTTATTATTTATTATTTATCAAGAATTGGGATTCTGGCAGAGAAATCAAAAGTTCTCTTTTTGATAAATTATCAAGATTTAAAATGCTATTTACAAGCGTTTACAAATTGAAATTTCATGTGGAAATTATAAATCTTGTAAATATATTAAAAAATTGTTTCCACCATTTAAATAATGCATGCGCCGGCATTTGAACCTGCGACACCCGGAATTATAGTCTTTTATGCTTTTAAATTGACAGTAAAATTAAAGAAATCTCAAAAGTCAATATTATTTTTACCAAATTGCCCTTTATTAAATTAAAATTGAATGGGTTACAAAACTGCATACCAAAAAAAAAATCTAAAAATTAACAAAAAATCACCAAAGTGAACCTTTCAGACCCCTCGATAGTCAAGGGTTAAACTATATTACAAAAAGTGTAGAAACCTATTATTTATGTTCGGAAACATTTGCACCCTAAAAGAAGAAAGAGTGAGTGTTTTTTTTTGTTGTTCTCTGTATATTAGCGTGGGCCGAAAATCCGCTTTTTTAGTCCATCAAAATTCAAGTATTAAAAAAAAATTTTCTTAGCTTACTTCGCTTCTCTACAAAAAAAGTCCATATACCAATTTCGTAGACTAATATTTTCGAAGATTATAGCAATTTTAGTAAAAAAATGTATTGAATAATTTATTTATCAAATTTAATTTTTAGAGCATATTGAACTTTGATGGACTTGGTCTAGCCTAGGATATTGACCAAAAAATTTCAAATTTCACACAGATTTTTTTTAAAGCATAATGAACCATATTTTTGCTATTACCAATCAAAATTCTAAAAAAGCGGACTTTCGGCCCACGCTACTGTAGAGCAGAGGACGATGAACACCGGACGAAGCAATGAAAGACTGGGAGTATGTATTATCAAAAACAACTACGCAATTACGGTGGGAAAGGTAAGATCTTATCCATGATAAGGTAAACGAAACCCCTCCTATCTTGCGTAAACAAAAATTCATAAAAATCATTGATTTGCCGTTATAAAAAATGCCGAACATGTGTGATTAAAAGGTTGATCGGTCTCGACAAACAATTCAGTGCGTTAAGTGCAACGAACTCTTTCATTTAACTTGTGTTGGTATACAGCCAGCTGATGCCGAATTCATTTCCAGCTCTGATAGAATTTTTTTTTGTAAAGTATGCACGGATGTGCGCCGAAACTCAATCCGTTCACCTCCCCTGTCTCTAGCCGTTTTAGATGACAAGAAAATTGCTACATCTAATATCACGAAGTCTGACTCTCTTAAAAATGCTAATAAATCGGCAACTTTGCAAAAACAATCTACTAGTAATGCAAACGATGCTAAAACCCTACAGCAACAAATAACGCTGGGATCTCTGTATAATGTCATCCGGCCTTAGATAATATGTTTGTCGATGTCGATGTAATTTTTTCGTAAAAAAATAGCCCTCATCAGTGCAACTCCGGTTTAGCTGACCACAGTAGTTTTGCAAGGAACACCTTTCCGCAAAAATACTGTGGCCAGCGTTGCTGGCGTTGGACCTGCTGGGCTATTTTTGACGAAAACATTACATCCACGTCGACATCGACCACCCATACTAGGGTCCATCGTCTCACTTCTAACCGACAATAGCCATATTCTGAATTCCATCACTGCTCAGCGCGAAGAAAACAACAAACTAGTGCTAAAAATGTCACTAGTGAAAATGATGATCATTTCGTCAAACGGCAAAGTATTACTTACGCGCGAGTTCACAGTAATTTAAGATTTTTTTTTGTGATTTTTATCTTTCTTATTTATTCAATTTTTTTATGCTGCATAGGGACAATTTCAATTGACCATATTATTTTTGATTCGAATTTTTAAATTAATTTTTAGAACAAATATTTACACTGGATTTAAATACCCAATAGCGGCTATTGAATCAGTTCAACTCTGCTCCCTCCGAAGTTGTGCTCCTTTATTTCATCAAGTAAAATATAAAAAACTAAAAGGAGTTTTTTAACGCCGAATTTTATCGTTTAATTAATAAAGGTTAAATAAGACAAACACAACACCATATCACTAGATTATTAACCATAGGATTTACGCCTTTTTGAGCTATTTTATGGAAATTTTTTTAACAAAGACGATCTGAATACTCACAAAAATTTCCATTTAAAATTGGATCTGCCTTTGAGGCGTGAGAACATATTTAGCTAGCGGGCAATGAGATTCACTACGAAAATGTCAGTAAAAATATAACAACTAAACAGTGTATCAAGAGTGTTGAAATACAAAAATATTAAAATTTTGAAAAAAAAATCTTAGAAAATCCTTAAAGATATTTTATCACCAATTTTCTCACTCATAGTCCAGAATAACACTAAACTTATGGAGAAATACCTAGCCTGGCAAAACTGATGCATACTATTAAATACATGTACGAGTTTTCCTTAATTAAAAATATATAGCAATGTGCACTCACTCACCTTTGCAAAATCGTGTGCCTTCAAGGCTGCGGCCGCGTCTTGTGTACGTTTCGTTTCCGTTATGACATGTCGGGCGCGACGCAATAGTACCGGATCTGACTGCAACACTGTAATTAAATTAACGCAAGAAAAGCAACGTTATCAAGGAATGCCAGAAATTTCAAAACTTACAACGAAATGTGCACCCATTTACGTACATACATATATTTATGAAATTTACTCGTACGAGTGTTTTATAAATGCGAAGGCTATTTGTGTGGTGCTAGGTGCAGCGACGCGAAAGTTGCGCACTCACGGTTTAATTATTGAAAAAAAAAAATATCATAAAATGAATGAGTGAAATTTTTAATGAGTTGCGACGTTCTTTCAACTCTATCTAACCACATGGTGCAAATGCACGGAAATAAGGAGGAGAGCACACACAAATTTTCAAAGAAATACTTGCACTAAAGTAATAAGTATGTAGAAAGCCTGCCGGCAACTGCCTACTAGTCACCTTACACTGCCTTTTATTTATGTGTTTAATTTTTTCTTTATTTTTTTTTACTTGCTAAACATTCAATAGTTGCAACTAGCTCACAGAAAATGCAAGAATGCATGCAAGCGCATGAAATGCACGGTAATGCGAATTCAAGCGAATACCGCGGAGGGAAGGGAGCAATACCACAGCCACCGATTGCGTGGCTTTGAAATGGTCTGAAGTAGCGCCTAATCTGGCAGTAATTGCTACTTGCAATTGTAGAAGCTATGCAATGGAGAGAGAGGGAAAAAGGGGCGACTTTTGCAGCAGTGACAGCGTTTTCGCAGGCGTCCTTGCAACATGCATGCAATTCACCTTCCTTGCCTAATTGCAGCAGGGGACGACGAAAAGAAAACGGATGCTGAGATGCAAAACCTGATATGGCGGCATAATTGCGTATTCACACCTAATGATTTCCGCACACACTTCTCTTCTGTTGCTTCTTCTTTTAGTTAAATATTTGAAATTTTTTGCCTGAATCAGTTGCTTTTAACACCCAAGCGCTAATGCGACGAGCGATAAGCCGACTGGAAGCGAATTTTTTCCCTAGATAAGCGACTTTGTGACTTAATTGAAAGCAAAAATTCCATTAAAAGAATTAACCGCTTTTACTTAGTTGTGGCTTAACTTTCTTTCTTTGCCTTTGTTACATTTAAAAGCATCGAAATTTTTGCGCCACGAAGCATAATAAAATCCCATAAATAAAAGAGCAGAAGAGTAAAACTTTGCAAAAAGAAAATTATCAGTGTAGTCACAACGTTTTTATATTTATTACCAAAATTGCCAGAAAAAAGTTAGAAAATGTAACCAGAAATTACCAAAATTATTTTATGTGCCCAGCAGATGTTACTTAGCCCCCGAGAAGAACCGACTTGATGCTGTTGAACTTTTTATGAGGTTACCCGGTTGGTCGTATTTATGCGAATAAACCTCAAACTTTGGAGCACTTGTAAATCAACATTTGTCAAATTTTGGTAGTAAAAAATATCTCAAAACAAATCAACGCTAGAAGGCAGCTCAGAAATGTTTAGACTCACATATAGACAAAGCAAGTGGCTTACTGAATTCTGTAGATTCTTGAATAAGAGCATATATGGGGTATCCAGACCACCCGTCCCCTACTCTAAAATAGAGGAAAATCTTTTTTTTTTTTTTTGAATAACGCAAACTTATGACCAACCAAATAAGGCATTATCTATCTTTTGCTGGTATTACCGACATCCGGCTCCGACCGTAAGTGGGTTAAACTGACCGGAAGTCTATCTTTGAATTAGAATTAGCCCTATATGTTTTTATAACAGATTCGTATTCTGAGATTAAAAATACTTAACTTTTGTTTGAAACTTTTTTTGCCGGAAGTGTCTTTTCAACCGTTAAATGACCTCCGAATTTTAACTCGTCCCGCACTTCCTAAATGAGTGAACATGTTTTTATTGAAAAAAGAAAAAATATGAATTACCAAGTCGGGGATGCTATATCTATCTTTCCAACCGGAAGTGGGTTAAACTGACCGGAAGTCCTTTTTTTAAATAGCACATATATACGTACATGTTTTTGCTACAGATTTGCGGACAAAAATACGTAACTTTTGCCCGAAACTTTTTTCTGCAATAGACTTCAAGTTAAAATAATGCACTTTCGGCCTATTTGAACCACTTCCGGTCGAAACCGGAAGTCGGTGATACAACGAAAGGTAGAGCATCCTGACTTGGTAATTCATATTCTTTCAGTTTTCAATAAAACAGAATTTTAGAGGGGCTGTACGGGTGGTATAGGACACCCAGTATAAAATTCTACTCATAAGGGTGCCGGGTGCATCGGGATATTGAGGGTAGTTTCAAAGCTGACGACTAACAAAGAGTGATCAGCGGGTATTTCTGTAACCCGAAACTCACATCGTTCTTCGTAATTTTAAACAGCAAATATATGTACTTCTCCATGAAAACTCTCCGGATCACTTCCTAATGTGGAATACTTAAGAACGTGCCTATGCATAAAGGATCTAAGACCGAATCAAAAAAGATAACGAGTTGATAATTTGAAATTTGATAAAGAAGTTAAAAATTACCAATTCTGGTGAAAAAATCCAAAGCGGCAACACTGAACCACGCTATCAAATAGTATTTTTCAATTACGCCAACGAAATAGCAAAATGCAATGATAATATCGCAATTACCAGCCGACAAGCTGAGGCATAAACGAAACCAAGAGAATTTCGAAAAAAAAATCCAAATTGCAACAAGAACAACAATTCAATACACGTAACATGCAACTCATTACCAACGTGCAAAAATCTTCATGCCAGAAAGGCGATTATCAGCAACCAGAGGTCATAACCAAGCACCCGGCCTAGCAGACTTTAGCGCACACAAACACACACACACATACATACAAACATATGCACAGGCAACCAAATAGAAATGTCTAACATGAAGGCGACAGAAAATGAAAAGATTGCACTGAAACGAAATGATTGCATTTTACGAAGAATTCAATTGAATTTTTGAAATGCTTGCTTTTCATAGATAATCTTTCGATTTAGTGCAGCAGCCAATAACAGATAAGTAAGCGGAAGTGTGCAACTCACCACCATGTGTAGTGTAGTTAAGTAGCTTTGTGCAAAAAATACATACATACATAAGAGTACAATAGATACCATTTGTGCAAAGCAATTGCCAAAAGGCCGACTGTTTGGCAAAGAAATGCGGTTAAGGAAATGTGATGAAATCCACAGAAGATATGATATTTATGTGCATACATACCTATGTATGACGGCGCGAGTATGCAATAATATTGAAACAAAATTTTAAGCAAAGAAAAGGCAGCACTGACCAGAAAATAATTAAGAATTTATTTGCGGTAGTTATTTCAGAAAAACGTTTAAAATTACGTAGTACTCTGGGTGTAAATTATTATGAGTTTTATTTTTTCACCTTAAGAATTGGTATTGGGAAAATATAAGGTAAGGTTTAAGTGACTACGCCTACAAACATCAGTCTAAATGCGTACATGTGTATGTCAGTGCAATGAAAAATAACTGCGAGGAAAACGCTGTGTGCCTGGAATAAAATTTCACAGACGGCAAAAGTCAGTCTAGGTGAGCCCATTAGGACTGACTTAAAGCTGGAATTCAAGGAGTTTAAACCATCGCCTCACAAAAGCTGAACGACAGCGTCTCAGGCCGAGTATGACAAAAGGAAATTTTTCTCATGCCAAGTATGCCAAAGGGAATTTTTCTGTCAATAAACTAACAGAATTTGGAGTTGCGGTCGTGTGAGGCTACAAAGAGCTCGTAGCTGATCCAATCTCGGCAAGTCCTAGTTTCCGCCCAGCTTCTTCCGCGCTGAAAAGAGATCGTCACTCTGTTGTTGTTTTTGGTGCGCAACTAGCAAGTTCTGCCCAAATTGGCTAGTCAGACATACACACTTTTTTGACGGGTTTCGACCGAAGAAAGAGGAGTGTTACCTAAGTGATCTTATCGAACCAAGTGAAGAGGTGGTTGGAACTTAGGGTTTCTTTAAAAGCCGAACATAGTAATTTGGGTATGTCAGAGTGAAAGGTAAGTAGGATTTAACCACTCAGTCTCTGCGGTAGAGAGGATGTTACAGTGTGTCCTAGTAGCGTACAATGTGCCCTAGTAGCGTGGATTAACTGTTGTATCACATAGCTATAACTTCACTGATGCCTTCCAAACTCCCTCCTCAGAGTTAGGCTAGCACCAACTAGAAGAAAATATTACTAATGCTTATTTCCTCTATCTCTACGGAAATTTTTCGAGCCAGAGCTTAGAATTCGGAGTCTCATTAACACTAAATTAAAAAGCAATGTTTTATTTTACATACATAAAGCCCAACCCTATAAAATAGTTACTCATACGCCATGGTGAACATGGTGATCGCGTAACTGCTGACAAATTTTTAAATTTTATTATTAAGTAATAAAAATATGACACATATAAATTAGATGTTTTTAATACATATTCCACTTACTAGCTTCATCAACTAACATTTTTGTAAAATCAACATACTTAAAAGACAAAAGAATAACCAATTCCAAAGAAATCTGCAAACGTCGCCGCTATTACAACGATTTTACTGCACGAAAATGGGTCGCATTGCAGTGTCAATAAAACTTTACTTTGCTCACTATGACTAACTTTTATTATTGTCAATTTTGGCTGCGCCTTTGTTTCAGCTAGTTGAGTGAGAAGAAAGAATCGCTGCTTTGGCAAGCAGCCAAAGTAATCAACAGCCAAGCGCAGAAGGCAGAGAAGCAAACTGAAAGAGACGACGTTACGCCAGGAGCAAATTACCTAAGATTAAGGGGGGATAAAATGAACGTCTCTCACTGCCAAAATGGCATTTCGCTACGTGACAGAGTCGAAATAATGAAGAAGATATTAACTGCTGACATAAAAATATAAGTATGAATGTATGTAAATGTATTTAATTTTCAATCATAAATATCAATGTTCCTTGGGAATTTTCGTACGTATGAAATTACTGCCATTCTTATGCAACTTAAGTGCAGGTAACTTTTGTGGAAGTATGATTCATGTTACGCTCCATTGAAAAGTTAAAATTTTCT